ATAATTCATTATTCGAGATTTTCATTATTAATAAAATACAATTGAGTAGTGTTGGGATAATAAAGCTATTGATCAATTAAAATAGTTGTTTAATTTATTGTTATTTAATTAGAAATAAATTTTATTAAAAAAAAATGATTTCAATAAGCTAAAAATTGTTTTCAATGAATTAAATAAATAAATTGAAATTATAAAGAATTTGTTTGTTTGAATAAATAAAATAAAATAAAAATTGTTTTTTAACGTATAAATGTTCGATTATGAATCTTTGCTTTTATTTAGTTTAGTTAAACACAAGATAGATAATTTCTTTTCTAATAGTAATCAACTTTTAATAAACAACAAAAAAAATGAAAACAATATAGAAATAAGTTCATAAATGCATTTGGTACTATTTTCGAATTTGTTGCTGTTGAATGTTTGTTTGTTGATTAATAATTGAAGATATTGGTGTTGTTCGACTATTGAATTGTGAATATGCCTGAAAAATAGCAGCTGCTGCATCAGCTGCTGCTGAATTAGGCATTGTTTGATAAGAATTTTGATTTGTAATTGATGTTGATGGATACATATATTCAGAAGGTTTACAAACAACATCGGATGTTGTTAATGGTGTTGTTGTTGTTGTTTGTTTTAATGGTGATTTTATATTAAATGTCTTAGCAAGTGAATCATAGGATGATTGAAATGAATTTAATGAAGTTTTATCTGTTGGTATTGATGATGATGATGATGAATAATAAAATGATGGTTGAACAAGTGATGAATTATTTTGATTCGATATCGTATAAGAAAAAGATGTTTGATTTAGATTATCTTGTGATAAAATATTTTGTTCAGCTGATTGAAATTGTTGTTGATAATCATTTAAATCTTTTGTTGTTTGTTTAAAGTGAATATTTGATTGTGAATTATAATTATCTTCAAATTTAATTATATTTGACAATGAATCAAATGAATTTGTTTTTGTTCGATTTTCTATATCAAATTCTTCATTTGAATTCAAACAAGATGATTTAATCATATTTGTTGAAATAATTTGACGAATTTGTTCAGCTATTGTTGAAGATAATTCCGATGATGATAATTCTTCTTTTGTTAATAAACAATTTCGATCAGATAAAACACATGAATCTTTTTAAATAATTCAACATTAATTTATTTATTTTTATTCAAATTTAATTTATCAACTCGATTATTTTTATATTTAGAAATAATTATTTTATTCAAGAGAAAAACTCGAAACAATCGACAGAACTTCGAAAGAATATTCATCAATAGAATTTTTGTCAGATTTTTCCGATGATTTTCATTGGAAATAAAAACAAGTTAATTTTAGATGATCAGAAATATTCCATTCTCATAAACTACTTATGCAAGCTCAAATCGATTTGAGAAATTTTTCTCTTGTTTTTCTTCAGATTATTT